AAACATGGGTACTGTTACCTTATTTTATAAATGGAGAAACAGAGGCCCAGAGAAGTTTAGTGATTTGCCGAGATTACATGACTAGCATATGGCCAAGACGTGAGTTTAACCCAGCACTTTGGCGCTACTGCCCATGCTCTTAACCACCACATTAAATTGGCTTTTGAAATATCATCAGGGTTTCCAGGAAAGACCAAGGGCTAAAGAAAAACAAGAACTGATAGAACTACCCTCTTAGTGGGCTCCCTTGTGTATAGCTCAGTGAGGGCCCTGTCAAGGGTGTCTTCTTACCCTGAAGAAGCCTTGTGTTGGGTAAGGGACTTAGTAATAATATTACCTTGTTCCAGAAGCAGATCTTTGCCTCCCTGAGGGTCACTTAAATGCAGAACATCATTTCCTATGACTAGCATCGAGGGAACAGAGAAGACTGGAACCTGGTGGGTCACTCTTCAGTGGATTAGACCAGTCTCAGTGGGGAGAACCAGGGGGAAAGACCAAGCCCCTGTGAAAAAAGTGTTCTATCTGCTGCAATACAGACACAGTCACTTGCCTTGGAGCTGCCCATTCCTGAGGCTCTGGCAGGGTGGTATTACTCTGCTTGCAGTTATACCAACTTCAAGACAACTGCGAGTAATGTCTGTTAGATATTATCTAACTGTGAGTAGCTTGAGTATCTTCTCCCTCTAGTTTCAAGTGGATGAGGATGATGGTCTGTAGCAGCTATGAGATGTATGAGTTTTTCCAAAAATATACTTCTATAATTTCAGTACGTTTATCCATTTAGAAAGGTGGAGGGGCTCAGAGACTTTGGCCAGTTCACTCTCGGCTGCATTGTGCTGTTCATGCTCCTGTTCGAAAAGCCAGAACTACAGTGCCCTCTGCTGGAGTCTAAGAATGGCATATCCAGCTGTCTTCTCATAGCGGGTCATCAAAAAGGAAGCTAGGAGAGGTCAAGAGAACTAGGAGACTGAGCAGAGTACTTTCCAGCAAGGGTGGGGAAAACCACCTATGGGATCCCTTTGACAAGATTCAGAAAACGAGAATACAGCTTTTACCAAAGGTTTACTTTTTCTTTGAAGAGATTCATTTGGAAGTAAGAGCAACTAGGAGGACTCATTATGGAATTCCTCTGGGAGGAGGAATGATAAAGGTCGCAGTGGAGGAAGATGGAGTGAGGCCCTTCGGATTTGCAGAGCTTGGAGGTCACTGTGTCTGTGGCTGGAGGGCTGTCACTAGAGAGTCTGGCAGGGAGACTCTGTCATTTGTTTCAAATAAGGACAAGCATAAGCACTCTTTACCACCAATCCCCATCAATTTGCCTCTGAGACGACTGTCAGTGGGCAATGCCCTGAGTGGAGATGTGTGCTGGGATTATATCTAGCTTGACCTAGGTTTTTCATATAACAAGGCAAGGGAGTTGTCTTAGCAAAGGGCCACATAAGGGAATTTTTCTGAAATTCTAAGACACTTCTGAACCAAGAAAAGAGTGCAGGTGTGACACTAAAACAAGATAGGAGAACAAGGTTCAAAGCAACTGGTGAAAGAGATTCAGCAAAGGAGAGGACAGATATGTGGCCAGGCTCTCCTGGGCAGGATAGGGAGGGAAAGCTTAGGCACTAAAGGTGAATGAACTCAGGAAGCTTGGCTGAACCTGCAGGGGCAGCTAGTAGAATTAGGATCAGTAAGGTGAGTCTGGAAGGGGTAGGAATTACTGATTGGTGGACAAGAGAGTTCTGGTCACTGGTCAGGGATGCTCTGTGAGCAACTGCAATTGACCAGGCTCTTTCAGGGTCTGGATGAGCTATCCTTTGATGCCAGCTAGCATTTGTTGCTTCTCAAGAAATCTTATGGTTAAAAATATTGCTTTTCATGGGAATTCCCTGGTGGTCTGATGGTTAGGACTTGGTGCTTTCACTGCCAAAGGACTCAGGGGAACTAAGATCCTATAAGCTATATGACCCAAATATATATATTGCTTTTCAGGCTCTCTACTCTGGCAAGTATGTTTTGAGTAGCAAATATATTCCAGTCAAAGGAAAGGTATATATTCCCTATGTAAATAACACTATGGTTTTTAACTTTTCTTCCAATCATCTGTCATACAGTTTTATGTGCTAGGTCTTAGGTGTACTACATACATTGTATATTTAATTTACTCTCCACAACAGATCAGTAACGAAGGCATTATTATCTCCATTTACAGGTGAGGAAAATGAGGCACTCTGAATTTGCTTAGTGTGAGTTAGCTCCCTGAACAACTTTGAGTACCTGATGAAAATGAGTTTCTGAAGTCAAGGACAGACCAAAATATGCTCTCCACACCCAGGTTTCCTCTTTGGCTTTTCTATTTTGGTTCTTTATCAGGAGGAAAAGCAGAGAAGGCAATGGCACCCCACTCCAGTACTCTTGCCTGGGAAATCCCATGGACGGAGGAGCCTGGTGGGCTGCGGTCCATGGGGTCGCGAAGAGTCGGACACGACTGAGCGACTGACTTCACTTTCACTTTTCACTTTCATGCATTGGAGAAGGAAATGGCAACCCACTCAGTGTTCTTGCCTGGAGAATCCCAGGGACGGAGGAGCCTGATGGGCTGCCATCTATGGGATCGCACAGATTCGGACACGACTGAAGTGACTTAGCAGCAGCAGCAGGAGGAGGAAAAGAAAGGAAGGGGGCAGAGACTGGCAGAATATTTAGTTACCTGTGTTGACTCACTTCTACAAGTTTTCATTATGACTATAATAAGGAAGGCTTGAGTGGGCCCTCATATCTACTAGAAGGGAAAAAAAAAAACCTTTCTTGAAAGGAAAATTGTGAATAACTTTAAAATATCATTATAGTATGTGTTAAGAATGTGAAGTGTTAATAGGTTCATTTTAATGTTGCTGTTAAAGCCGTCACTGAAGAGCCAGATAAGAGTGTGGCTGATCTGAGCATGGAGAACAGGCTGAAGTGCTAGTACAGGTGGTCAGAAAAAGGTCAAGCCACTTGAGTGAATGTAGTAACAAGGTGAAATCAGTCAGAAAGCGAGCAGGGCCAGAGAATCATTCTGAAGACAAGTGTGGGTTACAACTCACAGTCCTGTAAGATCACTTGTGTTGTGGAACTAAGGGTGGGCACAGTCAGGAACTGTGTGTTCCTTGAATTAATGAATGTAGAAATTGAGATTAGGAAGACCTGGTTAAGCATGGTGGATGGATGTGGTTTTGTAAGAGCCAAACAGAATGCAGTATTTTCTCCACACATACTTTTTCCAAACCAGTTCTGAAGTAATAGAAAGGTATGAAGCAAGTTCCCCATTATGGTGGTCCACATTCCCAAACTTCTACCAGCTGACATACTGTAAGCAACATTAGCACCATCAGGATTCAGAACCAGGTGAGCTCTGTTGCTCTTTCTTGTTAATATGTTAAATAAGATGAAAGCTAAGAGTTTACCATTTAATTTAGCAACATCACCATGGATAGAAGCACTGGTGACTAGGTATGTTTCAGTGGACTGGTAGGGGCAAGAGCCCAATTGATGTAGGTTGAAGAGAGACTGGCAAGACATTTGGAGACGGAAAGACCAGACAATTCTTTTGAGAAACTTTTCTGTATAGGGGGTAGGCAGGGAAATAGGATGTAAGCTTCCAAAATGGAAGAAATTATAGCATGTAGGTGTGTAGGGAATGGTTAGACATAGAAAAACTGATGCAACAGTTGGAGTAGAATTGGAGTAGTATCTTTGAATAGTCAAAAATCTGATACACAAGTGGAGGGGTTGGTCTTAAGTGTGTAGAACATTCACTTGTTATTATAAGACATATATGGGCACAGATGCAGGTAGATGGATAGATACAGTTTGTGAGGGGTTATATAAATTATCTTCCAGTTGCTTCCATTTTCACTGTGAAATTGAAGGAAAGTCATTATCTGAGAGTGAGGATAGGGGAGGAAGCGGTGGAGGTTTGAGAGAAGAGAAGGTATGAAGAGGCCTTCAGGAGAGTGAGAGAATGCATAGAACAAAGAAATGTAGTCTAACATTTGGGCAGCCATAAAGGCCCACTTGAGTTTAGTGATCAGGAATTTTAAAGTGAGGTCAATCAGTGTGGTTGTTTTTCTCCTGTTGATGAGTATAAACTACTTTTCTTAGGAATTTTTGGTATAATCAGGAGTGGGAGGGGGGAGAATGGTGGAGAAAAAATGGGGACAACAGCTTGAGGGGACCATATGATCAGGAGAGGATTTCTTTTTTTCCCAGATGGAAGAGATTACAGCACATGTGTATACTTATGGGAATGATCTGGGAAGAGGGGAAAAACTGAGGGAGAAGGGGATAATTACAGGAGCAAAATCCTTGAGGTTAAGAGTGGATTAGATCCATGACTTCCCTGGTGGTCCAGTAGTTAAGAATCTGCCTGCCAATGCAGGGACACAGGTTCAATCTCTGTTCCAGGAAGATCCCACGTGCCACAGAGCAACTAAGCCTATATGCCACAACTACTGAGCCTGCGCTCCAGAGCCCATGCTTCCTAACAAGAGATGCCACCATAATGAGAAGCCCATTGCACTGCAACAAAGAGTAGCCTCCACTTGCCACAACTAGGGAAAGCTCACACACAGCAACAAAGATCCAGTGCAGCCAAAAATAAATAAACCTAAAAAAAAAAAAGTGGATGAGATATAGTAGACAAATGGAGTTAGTTCATTCATTGTAGTAGAGGGAAGACAGAAATGCAGTGGAATGTTAGATGTGATGATGGAAAGTGTCTTTTGATTACTCCTACTTAGTTAAATAAGGAACAAGGAAGTTACTACCTCAGTGTAAGGATGGGAGAGGGCATTTTAGAGATTTGAGGAGAGAATAGATGTGAAGTTGCCTTGAGGAGTGGGAGAGTGGCTAGGGAAATATAATAGGATTATCAGGAAGTCCCAAGTGCTCACTTGAGATTTGTGGTTATTGTTCCTAATCATTCTAGGAAGACTAGATGTCCTAGGAGGAGAGCCATATACACATACCTTTGTCTTTATAGATTGCCCTGGAGTTCAACACTCCAGCTCCCTTGAGTTTCATAGCCTTATCCTGAGCTTCTAGAGTCAGCCTGTGTACCCCAGAGCTTGGTCACATGAGCCCAGACTTCAGTTCTGGGGCAGCTGACGTCGCTTCAAGGGAATACTAGAAACAGAACATAATACATAATTGCTATTGAGTGGAATTTTTACGTAGAAGTCTTAATAATATGACTGAAACCAAACTTCGCAGAGGGTAGTCAAGTTCCCTGAATGTCTTTGTGCATAGATATTTCAGGATGTGCACAATTAAAATGACTGGTGAAGAACATACAATATGCTGCCACTTTATGGCAAAAGACACACATGGATTGAAAGTGAGGGGATGGAAAAAGATACTTCATGCAAATGGAAACAGTAAGAAATCAGGGGTAGCAATACTCTTATCAGACAAAATAGACTTTAAAACAAAGTCCATAAAGAAAGACAAAGAAGGACACTATATAATGATAAAGGAATCATTATATTACAAGAAGAGGATATTACATGTGTTATTAATAACATATATACAGCCAATATACACCCAACAAGACAAAATGGTTCTCTGAGGAGGTATTACAAAATAGCTGAAAAAAGAAGAGAAACAAAAGGCAAAGGAGAAAAGGAAAGATATACCCACCTGAATGCAGAGTTCCTAAGAATAGCAGGGAGAGATAAGAAAGTCTTCTAAGTGAACAATGCAAAGAAATAGAGGAAAACAATAGAATGGGAATGACTAGAGATCTCTTCAAGAAAATTAGAGATACCAAGGGAACACATCATGCAAAGATGGGTAGAGTAAAGGACAGAAACAGTAGGGACCTAACAGAAACAGAAGATACTAAGGAGAGGTGGCAAGAATACATGGGAGAACTGTACAAAAAAGGTCTTAATGAGCCGGATAACCACCATGGTATGTTCACTCACCTAGAATCAGACATCCTGGAGTGTGAAGTCAAGTGGGCCTTAAGAATCACTACTACGAACAAAGCTAGTGCAGGTGATGGAATTCCAGCTGAGCTATTTCAAATCCTAAAGGATGATGATGCTGTTCAAGTGTTTTACTCAATATGCCAGCAAATTTGGAAAACTCAGCAGTGACCACAGCACTGGAAAAGGTCAGTTTTCATTCCAATTCCAAAGAAGGGCAATGCCAAAGAATGTTCAAATTACCATACAATTGTGCTCATTTCACATGCTAGCAAGGTAACGCTCAAAATCCAAGCTAGGCTTCAATAGTATGTTAACCGAGAACTTCCGATGTACAAGGTGGATTTAGAAAAGGCAGAGGAACAGAGATCAAATGGCCAACATCTGTTGGATCACAGAAAACCCAAAGGAATTTCAGAAAAATATCTACTTCTGCTTCATTGACTAATCTAAAGCCTTTGACTGTGTGGATTACAACAAACTGAAAAATTCTTAGAGAGATGGGAATATCAGACCATCTTACCTGCCTCCTGAGAAATCTGTATGCAGGTCAAGAAGCAACAGTTAGAGACAGACATGGAACAATGGACTGGTTCAAAGTTGAGAAAGGAGGCTGTATATTGTCACCCTGCTTATTTATGCAGCGTACATCATGTGAAATGCTGGACTGGATGACTTGCAAGTGGAATCAAGATTGCTGGGAACAATATCAATAACCTCAGATATGCAGATGACACCACCCTAATGGAAGAAAGCAAAGAGAAACTAAAGAGCCTCTTGATGAGGTGATAGAGGAGAGTGAAAAAGCTGGCTTAAAACTCAACATTGAAAAAACTAAGATCATAGCATTTAGTCCCATCACTTCATGGCAAATAGGTGGGGAAACAATGGAAACAGTGAGACTTTATTTTCTTGAGTTCCAAAATCACTGCAGATGATGACTGCAGCCAAGAAACTAAAAGACGCTTGCTCCTTGGAAGAAAAGCTATGACAAACTTAGTATATTAAAAAGCAGAGACATCACTTTGCCAACAAAGGTCCATCTAGTTAAAGCTATGGTTTTTCCAGCTTTATGGATGGATGTATGGATGTGAAAGTTGGACCATAAAGAAGGCTGAGCACCAAAGAATTGGTGCTTTCAAACTGTGGTTGTGGAGAAAACTCTTGAGAGTCCCTTGGACAGGAGATCAAACAGGTCAATCCTAAAGGAAATTTCCTGAATATTAATTGGAAGGACTGAGGCTGAAGCTGAAGCATCAATACTTTGGCCACCTGATTCAAAGAACTGACTCACTGGAAAAGACCCTGATGCTGGGCAAGATTGAAGGTGGGAGAAGAAGGGGATGACAGAGGATGAGATGGTTGGATGGCATCACTGACTCAATGGACATGAGTTTGAGCAAACTCCGAGAGATTAGTGAAGGACAGGGAAGCCTGGCGAGCTGCAGTCCATGGGGTTGCAGAGTCAGACATGACTGAATGACTGAACAACAATAACAGAAATACACCCAATATGGGAGTACCTAATACATAAAACAAATACTATCAGATATAAAGGAAGAAATTGACATGTTATGTGTACATATGATGTGTGTGTATATATGTAAATATATGTGCATATACACATACACACCTATATATGGCAAATATTTCAGTAATAGGAAGCTTTAACACCTCACTGACATCAAAGGACAGATCTTCCAGACAGAAAATCAGTAAAACAACAGAAATCCTATAGACACAATAAAACAGCTGGACTTAACTTATATCTACAAGACACTACATCCAAACAAAATAAAACAAAAAACAAAACAAAAACAAAAACAAAAAACCAGGACGTCCCTGGTGGTGCAATGGATAAGAATCCGCCTGTCAATGCAGAGGGCACATGGGTTTGATCCCTGGTTTGGGAAGATCCCACATGCTGAGGAGCAGCTAAGCCCACACACCACAACTACTGAAGCCCACGTGCCTAAAGCCTGTGTACCGCAACAAGAAAAGCCATCACAATGAGAAGCCCATGCACAAGAATGAAGAGTAGACCCTGCTCGCCACAACTAGAGAAAGTCCGCACAAAGTAACGAAGACCTAGCACAGTCAAAAATAAAAACAGATAAATAATTAAAAAAAAAAAGAATCAGAGTACATATTCAAGTCTCCAGGAACATTTTCTAGAATAGACCACATAATTTCACACAAAACAAGACTCAACAAAGTTAAGAGGAAAGAAATAATTTCAAGCATCTTTTCTGACCATAACAGTATGAAACTAGAAATCAACCATATGAGAAAAAAATGCTTGTAATAAATGGGAGATGAGTCACTGGTTTCTGACTGGGATACAGTTAAAGTAGTCTGTGATCAAAGTGGGAGCTGGAAGTGCTTTGCTATAGTTGTGGCCTTCCTAGATTCTGAAATTTGCTCTTATGAAGTTCTTGCCTTAGCTCTACACATGGCTGGTTCATCCTCATTCTTCATGAGGTTGCTCAAACATTACTTCCTTGATTATTGTCTAAAGTGAACCTCTCCAAGTTGCTCTCCATCATGGGATCTGTGAACTCAGTTGCCTCCAAGAGTCAGGCAGAGTAAAACAAACTGAGCAAGAAACTTGTCCAGTCAAAATGGGCAGCTGCTACTTTACTCTGACCATTTGTGCTCATGTGGGAATTTAGGGCCAGTGTGGCCAGTTCTAATCTTTAAGAGAAGTCAGAAGTGTGGAATTTACATAAAATCTCCTGAGTTTAGATGTTGGTCCAAATTTTTTCAAGAAATCACTATGCAGACTGAGTCTGGCCCTCTGGCCAGCAGTTTATAACTCCTGAGCTGTTGCATCAACTCTCCCAGCCTCATATCCTTTCCATACTTGTTATGCTTGTTACAATCTGTGAATGTCTTATTTATTTATTGTCTGTGTTAGTCACTTTTGTATTCCCAGTGTCCGACACAGTGCCTGGCACAGTCAGTTCTCAACAAATAAATGTCTGATGTTGGATGAGAAGGGGAGTCTGGATTGATGCCCTACTTGGGGGTTTTCTATGTACTCTGAATATTATATATATGAATTATAAATATGTTTTATATGTATGTGTGAATTATAAATTTGTGTTTATATAGAGGTGTGTGTATATATATAAATATGTGTATATGCACACATCTATAAATAGCAAATATTTTCTCTTAGTCTTTTATTTATTTAATTTTGGCCATGCTGTATGGCTTGTGGGATCTTAGTTCCCAGACCAGGGATCAAACACAGGTCCTTGGCAATGAAAGTGTGGAGTCCTGACCACTAGACTAACAGGGAAGTCCCCTCTTAGTTGCTTTCTTGCCTTAACTTTATGATGTCTTTTGATACAGAATTATAGTTTGTTCTTTAGGAAAAGTTGTCGATCTTTAATTTTAGGCTTCTGGGCCTTATGTCCTATAAGAAAGTTTTCTGAAATCATCCTAGGATTGTGAAAATATTTTACATTTTCCTCTAATATTTCTATAGTTTTGTCTTATATGCTTAGGTCTTTACATCATCAAGAATTTATTTTTGTGTATGATATGAGGTGGATATCATATTATGCTAATGATGTCCTTTTTTACTTAATTTATAAAGTGTTTTCTAAAAGTATCAAATGCCTTTTTAGTTCCTAGTGATAGTTGGATATAACTTTTTGACATATAGGTGTGATGTATTTATATTTATCTATTTCCTAATAGTAAATCATCATTGCATTTCTGGAATAAATCCTACTTAATGGTAGATGATTGTCTTTATTCTTGAATTTAATCTGTTAGTGAATTTGTCCATTTACTGGTCTATGGGTTCCTCTTTTGTACTGTATTCTGTATTGTTTTATGTTATTTTATCAGTTTATGTTAGTATTGTAAAATTAATTGCTTATTTTCATTTTTTTCTATTAAGAATGGAATTATCTGTTAACATTTTGAAAATATTTCCTATCAAAATTGTCTGAGCCAAACATTTTGTTCTATGTAACTGTAATAACTTTCATTTTCTCTTATGATTATTTATTTAATAAGTTTATACTATTTATTTTAAATCTGTCTTATAATCCAAACATTTACAAAAACACATAAACCTCTTTTCACTTACTTGACAGTGTTCTTTGAAACACAGAAGTTTTAAGTATATGGGCTGCTGAAGCGAGCACAACACAGAAGTTTTTAATTTTTATGAAATCCAAT